GGGGGAGGAGGGAAACATAGGGGTGAATGTGGGGGGGGGGGGGGGGGGAAGGGAACTGTCAGGGGGGACAAAGAGCACCAGTGAGGGGCAGACAGAGAGAGCAAGTATGAGCGAGAGTCAGACAGAGAGTGAGCAAGAGTGAGAGAGAGAGGGCGAGGGGGCTCTGGGGTGGGATGTTGATAATAAGTTCGCTTGCATTAATAGTGTAATTAAGTGGCACATAAGACAATTGCCTTCGAAGCCCAGGTACACAACTTTAGTTAGGGCACCACTAGAGTGCCATGTGTAGTTCTAGTCACCGCACTATTGAAGAGATGTGATTTCACTTGAGGGGGATCAGAGAAGGTATAACAGGATCTTGCCTGGGATAGAACAGTTTGGCTTTGAAGAGAGGCTGGATAAGCACGTTTTCTTCTTTGGAGCCTAGAAGGTTGAGGGGACACCTGATACAGGTGAATGAGATTATGAGAAATATTGTCAGAATGGATAGAAAGCAGCTGTTCCCCTTAGTTGAAGGGTCAGTAACAATGGACACACTTTTTAAAAAGTGGAAGGCAGGAGATTTAGAGGGGGTTTTCAACCAGAAGGATTTTCACCCTGAGAGTGGTGGAAGTCTGGAATGTTCTGCCTGGGAGGGTAGTTGAGGCAGGTAACTTCACAAACTTTTTTTTTTTTTTTTTTTAAAAAGAAATGTTCTTGGATGAGCACTTCAAATGTCATAATATTCCAAGCCTTGTGCTGGAAAATGGGACTAGTGTCCATTTAGTGTAGTTTAGGTGGTACAGACTGAATGGGCTGAAGGGCTTCTCCTGCATGATGTGATTCCATGAAATTCATACCTTTTCAAAAACTTGTCGAGTTACCTTTTGAAAATGATCAAATCTACTTTTGTCCTTCTTTAAGGTAGTGCCTTCCTGATCACAAGTTGTCGCACAAAGACTTAATCTCATGTCTGTCTCGTCTGAAAATTTGTGTCCTCTGATTACTGACACTTCTACCACTGGAAACAAATTCATTTACAATATCAAAACCCTTCATGACCTTGAAGGTTTCTATTTGGTCTCCTTGGACTCTCCCTGCTCCAAGAACAACAACACCAGTTTCTCTAGTCAAGCTTCTGAAGAACAAAGGCTGATTAAGATTGAGGGGGCATTATCTGCCAGAGGTTTCAAAATTTTCTTTCCCTTTTGTTTTTTTTGCGATTTGTGCCAGTTGATGAGACAAATAAACCCTGATTTTTCAAAGCAAAAAGAAAGATAAATTACTCTTCAGCACAGTTATCATAATTTGGTTCATTATGTACTTCCTGTGTCACAAGTAAGGTGCATGATCAACTGTAAAAAGAAAATGCGTTCCTCTTATTTCAACCTCTCCCATTTTACCTAGGGTCATCATAATACTGGTTGACTCACCATGTTTCCACCTCAATCCCCTCCTTTAATTCGCCCATTCATCTTCCAATTCCTGTGTTCTAGTCTCTCACCACTGCATCCTTCCATCTTGTCTTTTCTTGTAGCAGTCCCGTCACCACCACTTGTGATACCACGTCACATTTCCTCCCTCTCTCTCCCAGTGACTGATGATTGTAACATTTTGATCTCTTCTCGGCTACTTTCTGCCACAATCTTCACAGATCTAGAGTTAATTAGGACTTTGCCCTTTCAAGTCAGTCCACACATCCATCTTAGTAACTGCATAAAAAGTTTATAATTGCTAGCTTTGTTCACCAGCTTTCACTCCTTCTTCACTCAAGTTTGTTGGGCTGCAAGCCCCTCAGACCGTACAAGTGACCACTCTAAAGAACAAAGAAGAGCAAAGAACAAAGAACAAAGAACATTACAGCACAGGAACAGGCCCTTCGGCCCTCCAAGCCTGCGCCGATCCAGATCCTCTATCTAAAACTGTCGCCTATTTTCCAAGGATCTGTATCCCTCTGCTCCCTGCCCATTCATGTATCTGTCTAGATACATCTTAAATGATGCTATCGTGCCCGCCTCTACCACCTCTGCTAGCAACACGTTCCAGGCACCCACCACCCTCTGCATAAAGAACTTTCCACACATATCTCCCTTAAACTTTTCCCCTCTCACCTTGAAATTGTGACCCCTAGTAACCGAGTCCCCCACTCTGGGAAAAAGCTTCTTGCTATTCACCCTGTCTATACCTCTCATGATTTTGTAGACCTCAATCAGGTCCCCCCTCAACCTCCATCTTTCTAATGTAAATAATCCTAATCTATTCAATCTCTCTTCATAGCTAGCGCCCTCCAGGCAACATCCTGATGAATCTCCTCTACATGAAGCCAGACTCGAAGAATTGGCAGATCAGTTGTTTGCAATATCATGTCAAAGCCTTATCCAGACTCAGTTCATTTTCTGGTGACCTCTGCTGAGGCGCACGGTGAGGAACGGGAATGATGACTGGTTCCAAACTTGCAACAGGAATCTTTGACCAATTCTGGCACTAAATCCACACCAATTCATTAATTCAACAGAGACAGAGACAAAAAAAAAAAGTGGATTCTTTCTGCTGTGTGAAACAGCTTTCAACTGAATTAGTTTGGTATGCCGCTAGGACAGCTGGAAACTTTCATTAAGGAAACTGAGAAAAGATCGACCAAGTCGATTTTAAAGCATTGGAATTGTGACACATGATTATCCTGTTAAAGAAGGCTACATACAAACATTGTGCAACCCAATCATCTAAATGATTTCAATGTGGAACTGAATAGTTGCTGATTGATTGGGGGCCTAGCAGTCTGTGAGGTTAGCATGTCATGCATCTAAACTGGACCTCAAGGTAGCTTTCCCCCACTGCACTCTTGCAATAGGAAGGGCTGCAACCATCTCTCAATAGCTGGGCAGGAAGAAAAAGGACAGTGAATAGAACAACAAGGAAGGTAGGAATCCTAGGCCTGATGACAGAGACATTGTTGTTGGTGGTGGTGGAGATGGCAAGAGAGGTGCCAATCTTCCACAGGGAGCTGAAAGAATTTTCATGGACTCTACGAGAAACAGCTTGACAGGAGGGGGTTAAGCTCCTGGAGACTCTATTTAAAGACCTGGCTGCAGTGCCAGAAAAGGTAAAAAGGAACAAACTCTTTCATGTGATTAAGATTTGCCACTGCAACTTCTCACGACACCATCTGTAATATCTCACAATGCTTAATTCACAGCTCTCACTCAACAATCAGAACTCATACCTAATACACAGATAGATACTCCAACTCACCCATACATCAATCAGTAATTGGAATTATTCACAACTCCAGTTAGTCATCTTCAAGCATTTATTCCATTTCAATGAAAACGAACTGAAGGAATTTTGATTTGGGTTTAAATGTTCTCAAACCCAACTCAAAATTCTTCTGCAAACCTAATAAGTATCTGGACAGAAATTGTTGAACACGTTTAAATAAACTTGTGGGAAGTTTAATTCAAAAAGACAATCCACAATACCTGCAAGCAAAGTACAAAGGGGTAGCTCCAGAAACATTAGGCCGGTTGATATCTGCACCACTTTCAAGAAGGCAAAGTACTGTCTGTGAAGAGGGGAAAAAAAATTGACAAAGCAGATCTCGACAGACATCCAAAACTACGCTCATAGAAGAATCAGACAGTAGAGAAATTAACCATCTCACTATAATTTTCAAATGGTATTAACATTGTTGGATCCCACAGCAACAGTAATTGGGGGTCACAAGTAACCAGAAACCTCAGACAAAAACAGAAATTGCTGGAAAAGCTCAGCAGGTCTGGCAGCACCTGTGGAAAGAAATCAGAGTTAAAGTTTCAGGTCCAGTGACCCTTCCTCAGAACTGATGGTAGCTAGGAAAAAGTTTTTTTTAAATGCAAAAGATGGGTTGGGGTAGGCGGATAAGGAGTTAATGATAGGTGGAGATAGCGCGCAAAGAGACAGAAGAACTGTTGGACAGACAAAGGAGTGGATAACGATCAGGCTATCAGAATGAACAGCTACAAATGGGGACAATTAGTGGCTAACAATGGGTTGTGTGTAATAGCAGACCATGTGATTACTGGTGTGTGGGGATTAGGGCAAGGTATCTCAAGCCCTGTTGAACACAATATTGGGAGTGAAGGAGGAGGAGTGGACCACACTGTCCCGGAGGGAATGGTCCTTGCAGAAGCCTGACAAGGGAGAGGAAGGGAATGTGTGTGTCTGGTGGTGGCATCCCACCAGAATTGGCAGAAATGGGGTTAAGGATCCTCTGGATGTGGATGCTGGTGGGATGGTTGGTGAGCATAAGGGGGACCCTACCGCTGTTGTGAGGGGGAAAAAGAAGGGGCGAGGACTGAAGTGCGGGAGATAGCTCAGACCTGGCTGAGGCCCCCGTCCACAGCGGTCCTGGGGAATCCTCAGTTGAGGAAGGTGAACATTTCAGAGAGGCCCTAGTCGAAGTTGGCATCATCAGAACAGGTGCAACGGAGGCAGGGATCTGGGAGAATGGAATAGTGTCTTTACAGGAAGCAGGGTGTGAGGATATATAGTCAAGGTAACTGGGGAAGTTGGTAGATTTTTACATGGATATTGGTGGCCAGCCTATCCCCAGAACTGGAAACCGAGATGTCGGGGAAAAGGAGGGAAGACTCAGAGATGGACCAGGTGAAGGTGAGAGCAGGGCAGTAATTGGAAACAAAATTGATAAAACTTTTCCAATTCCAGATGAGATGGGGAAGCAGCACAGACAATATCATCGATATACCAGAGAAAGATTGAGGATGCGGGCTGGAACAAGGAATGTTCCACGTACTCAACAAAAAGACAAGCGTAACTGGGGCCCATGCGAGTACCCATGGCCACTCCTGACTTGAAGAAAGCAAGAGGAGTTAAAAGAGAAGTTGTTCAGAGTGGAGAAAAGCTCAGCCAGGCGGAGGAGGGTGATGGTGAATGGGGACGGTTCAAGCCTCTTCTTTCCCCCCAGAAAGAAGTGGAGAGCCCCGAGACCACCTTGAGGATGTGGCTAGAGCTTCCAAACTGAAAATTCTGAAACTGACATAAAGCCTCAACTGAATCGCAGGTGTAAGTGGGAAGGGACTGGACAAGAGGAGAAGAAAAAAAAAACAAAAAATCGAGCTGAGGTAGGAAAAGACGAGTTCTGCGGGGCAAGAGAAGGCAGAAGTAATGGATCTGCCTGGGCAGTCCTGTTTGTGGATTTTGGGAAGGAGGTCGGAAGTACGAGCAAGCTGTGCAGGGTTGGGAGATTATGAGCTTGGAGACAATGTGGAGGGTTGTGGGGACACACAGGCTACTAAATGCAGTGAGGTTAGTGACCATAGTGGACATAATGGCATGATGATCCATGGTGGGGTCACAGTCCCGGGAGGCAGAAAGTGGTGTCTGAGAGCTGACGCTCAGCCTCTGCAATGTAGGCATCAGTCCGGCAGACAACAACAGCATCACCCTTGTCAGCAACTTTCAGAGTCCATGGGATGTAGATTTGTTTAATGGTCAACCTGTATCTTCAGCAGTACCAAAATCTGTAGGTATCTTTTAGTTCTCCGAATGAAATTTTTCCAATTTGAGAGAGACTTCCAGTCCTTGCTGTTACAAACAAACATTTCTCTCTCTTCTGCTGGTCAAACCTGCTGTTTAAATAGGTTTAGTTCATGCATTCAAGACGCCCACCTGATTGTCCTTCCAAGCTCGATACTCTGCAGGCAACCTTATAGGTTTAAGTATGTGCCACTCACAAGGCATGTGCCTAGAGATCAAGTCCTCTCCACTCAGTCTGCAAGTACGATTCCAACCTCTAGGCACTTGTCATCTTATTGCACCAGCTTGCTTTTATGCTCCCATTTCTATCCTAGGTTAGGCTCAATTTCCCAGCAAAGACCAACCCAAGCTGTGGGAACACCAACTCATTTTCCATTTTGGCACTATGTGGCTTTCTGGATTCAACATTCAATTGAATAATGTCAAACCATGACCTCATTCCTCCATTTTGTTTTGCCCCACCTTACCCAACCTTCAGTCCCTACCATCAAACTGAAAACCTACTATTAGCATCTTCTCTGTATCTCTCTCTTTTCTTTATAACATTACTACTCCCTTTACTTTTTGATTTGTGGCACTTGTGCCTCTAATCATCTCCACCCTCTAACATTTTTCTGACCTTGCCTTTACTTCTAGCCTCTCCTCCTGAACTTCCTCTACAGTATAAAACCAAGTCAAGTTTACCAGACTAATTCCTGAGACGACAGGATTAACCTATGAAGATTGAATATGGTCTTAATCAATCTAGTCTATGTAGTTTGAGAAAAAAAAGGCTGTTTGGGGGTGGGGCGGGGGTGATATCACAGACACCTATTCAATTCTAACAGGACTAGACAGGATTAATACACCAAGATGGTCATGATGACCAGGGAGTACAAAATCAGGGATTAGAGTCTAAGGACATGAGGTGGACCATTTAGGATTGAGATGCGAAATCTCTTCATCTGGAAAGTGGGGAGTCTGTAGAATTCCAGAAAGCAGTTGAGGCTAACACTGAATGCTTTCCGGAAGGAGTTAGGTATAGCTTTTAGGGCTGAAGAGATCAAAGGGTACAGGGAGAAAGCAGGAACAGGATACAGAGTTGGATGATCAGCCACGATTCTACTGAATGGTGCAGCAGGTTCAAAGGGCTGAATGGCCTACTCCTGCTCCTATTCTTGTTATTTAACCCCGCCGTCTCTCTTCAGTTTTCAAAGGAGAGTCATATTGGGCTCAAAATATTAATGTTTCTCTCCACATATGTTGTTGGACCTACTTGGATTTTTAATCCTTTGTCTTTGTTCCAAGTCATACACTATTCTGACCCCACTATCCTTCATTGTTGCTGGTTCAAAAGGATCCCTGCTTCATAGAACTGTGGCTACAACGTGCCCACAGATTGCAGCAGTTCGAGAAGGTAGTGGACCAGTGCCTTCAAGGGCAATTCAGAATGGACAATGAGGGCTGGCCTTGCCTGCAATACACACTTCCCCAGAACCAATAAAATAAAATTGTTTTGCAGACAATGAGCTACCTTTGAAGAGCTATCACTTTGGTAACGTAGCTAAATGTGGCACAGAACTGACAACCACAAGTTCCACGAGGAAATAAAACTGACTGTCATAAGTCAATGCTAGTTGAAGGATAAATATTAGCCAAAAGATTGAGAGAACTCCCTTTTCTCCATAAAACGCTGAGAATACTTTATCCCCACTGGAGAAAGTGGGCTAGTAGTTGATGTAGCATTTCACCTAAAAGTAATTTCTGATTTATTTGAGGTCTTCACAATCAAGAAGAATTACCATCGAGTAAATAAACAGAATTTGTTTCCAATAGCAGTGGTAAGTACCTAGAGGACACAGATTTAAGGATATTGAGAAAAGAACCAGAGGTGGAATGAGGGAAAATAAATTTGCACACCATAATTTGGAAAGCACAGCTTGAAAGGGTGGTGGAGCAGATTCAATAGTAAACTTCAAAAAGGAACCAGGTAACTTCTTGAAGGAGAAAAATTTGCAGGATACTGGGCAGTAAAAACTGGCAAAGTAAAAACTGATAATACCGAGGCGATGGCCTAGTGGTACTAATCCAGAAACCTAGCTATGTTCTGGGGACCTGGGGTTCAAATCCCACCATGGTAGATGGTGGGACTTGAATTCAATAATTAGAAAACAAAAAAAAAAAAAAAAAAAAGAGTCTGGAATTAAGGATCTACTGATCACCATAAAATCAGTGCCGATTGTCAGAAAAACCTATCTGGTACACTAATGTCCTTCAGGGGAGGAAATCTGCTACCCCTCATCGGGTCTGGTCTACATGTGACTCCAGACCAACAGCAATGTGGTTGACTCTCAACTGCCCTGTGAAATGGCAAGCCTTTCAGTTGTACAAATCGCTACAAAGCCTCAAAGAAATGAAACTGGACTGATCACCTGGCATCGACCGAGGCACCGGAATAGACAATAGGTAGAAACAGCCCTGTCGACCCTGCAAAGTCCTCCTCAGTAACATCTGGGGGTTGGTGCCAAAACTGGGACAGCTGTCTCACAGGCTAGTTAGACAACAGTCTGATATAGTCATACTCACAGAATCATACCTTACAGACAACGTCCCAGACACTACCATCACCATCTCTGGATATGTCGTCCCAGCAGCAGGACAGACTCAGCAGAGGTGGCGGCACAGTGGTATACATTCGGGAGGATGTTGCTCTGGGAGTACCCAACATTGACTCTGAATCCCATGAATTCTCATGGCTTCCAGGTTAAACATGGGCAAGGAAACCACCTGCTGATTACCACATACTGTCCTCCCTCAGCTGATGAATCAGTACTCCTCACTGTTGAGCAACACTTAGAGGAAGCACTGAGGATGGCAAGGGCACAAAATGTACTCTTGGTGGGGGATTTCAATGTCCACCAAGAGTGGTTCGGCAGCAGTACTGATTGAGCTGGTCGGGTCCTAAAGGACATTGCTGCTAGACTGGGTTTGTGGCAGGTGGTGAGGGGGCCAACAAGAGGAAAAAACATACTTGACCTCATCCTTACTAATCTGCCAGCTGCAGTTGCATCTGTCCACAACAGCATCAGTAAGAGTGACCCTTGTGCAGTCCCTGTGGAGACGAAGTCCCACCGTCACATTGAAAATAACTTCCATCGTGTTGTGTGGCACTAGCACCATACTAAATGGGACAGGCTTCGCACAGATCTAACGACTCAAGACTGGACATCCGTGGGCACTGTGGGCCATCAACAGCAGCAGAATTGTACTTCAGCACAATCTGTAACTTCATGGCCCAACATATCCCCCACTCAACCATTACCATCAAGCCAGGGGATCAACCCTGATTCAACGGAGAGTGCAGGAGGGGAGGCCAGGAGCAGCACCAGGCATACCTGAAGATGAGATATCAACCTCGTGAAGCCACCAAACAGTACTACTTGTACCAAGCAGCAAGTGATCAACAGAGCCAAGTGATCCCACAACCAACGGATCAGATCTAAACTCTGCAGTCCGACCACATCCAGTCGTGAATGGTGATGGACAATTAAACAACTCACTGGAGGAGGCGGCTCCATCCCCAATGATGGAAGAGCCCAGCACATCATGCAAAAGATAAGGCTGAAGCATTCACAGCAAATCTTCAGCCAGAAGTACCGAGTGGATGATCTATCTCAGCCTCCTCCAGCGGTCCCCAGCATTACAGATACCAGTCTTCAGCCAATTCGATTCACTCCACGTGATATCAAAAAACGGTTGGAGACACTGGACACTGCAAAGGCTACGGGCTTTGACAACATTCTGGCAAAAGTACAGAAGACCTGGGCTCCAGAACTTGCCACTCCCCTAGCCAAGCTGTTCCAGTACAGTTACAACACAGGTATCTACCAGACAATGTGGAAAATTGCCCAAGTATGTCCTGCACACAAAACGCAGAACAAAACCAACTGGCCAATTACCACCCCAACAGTCTACTCTCAAACTTCAGTAAAGTGATGGAAGGTGTCATCAACAGTGCTATCAAGCAGCACCTGCTCAGAAATAACTTGCTCAGTGATGCCCAGTTTGGGTTCCACCAGGGCCATTCAGCTCCTGACCTCATTACAGCCTTGGTTCAAACATGAACAGAAGAGCTGAATTCCAGAGGTGAGGTGAGAGTGACAACCCTTGATATCAATGCTGCATTCGACTGAGTGCGGCATCAAGGAGCCCTGGCAAAACTGGAATCAATGGGTATCAGGGGGCAAACTCTCCAGTGGTTGGCGTCATACCTGACACACAGGAAGATGATCTTTGTTGTTGGAGGTCAATCATCTCAGCTCCAGGACATCTCGGCAGGGGTTCCTCAGGGTAGTGTCCTAGGCCCATACATCTTCAGCTGCTTCAAATGACCTTCCCTCCATCATAAGGTCAGAAGTGGGGATGTTCGCCGATGATTGCACAATGTTCAGCACCATTCATGACTCCTCAGATACTGAAGCAGTCCATGTTCACATGCAACAAGATCTAGACAATATCCAAGCTTGGGCTGACAAGTGGCAAGTAACGTTCGCGCCACACAAATGCCAGGCTATGACCATCACCAATGAGAGACAATCTAACCACTGCCCCTTGACATTCAACGGTGTTACCATCACAGATTCCCCCACTGTCAACATCCTGGGTGTTATCACTGACCAGAAATTCAACTGTGCTCACCACATTAACTGAGTGGCTACAAGAGCAGGCCAGAAGCTAGGAACTCTGCGGCGAGTAACTCACCTCCCGACTCCTCAAAGCCTGTCCAATATCTACAAGGCACAAGTCAGGAGTGTGATGGAATACTCCCCACTTGCCTGGATGAGTGCAGCCCCAACAGTCAAGGAGCTTGACACCATCTAGGACAAAGCAGCCTGCACCACACCAACAAGCATCCACTCCCTCCACCACCGATGCTCAGTACACACTGCTGCTACTATCTACAAGACGCACTGCAGAAATTCACCAAAGATCCTCAGACAGCACCTTCCAAACCCACGACCACTTCCATCTAGAAAGACAAGGGCATCAGACATATAGAAACACCACCACCCCCAAGTTTCCCTCTGAGCCACTCACCATCCTGACTTGGAAACATAAATCGCTGTTCCTTCACAGTCACTTGGGTCAAAATCCTGGAATTCCCTCCTTGATAGCATTGTGGGTCAACCCACAGCAGGAGGACTGCAGCAGTTCGAGAAGGCAGCTCACCACCACCTTCTCAAGGCTAACTAGGGATGGGCAAGAAATGCTGGCCAGCCAGCAACACCCATACCCACAAATGAATAAAGAGGAAATAAAAAAGTTGAATTGTATTTTCAATTCTGAATAACAACCGAGTTCTCAGCATTTTGATTTGAGCAAAGATTATCACTCAGCTAAGGGTGATACGAGGAAACACCATTTTACTCCAAACATAGCATCACTTTTGCAAAATTCCAAAAAGCAACTGCGTTTGATTTTAAGACACTACATGTAGATCTATGTCAAAACATAAATGTATATCATATCATTATGACATGCAAACTATCATAAATTATACTTTTGCTAGAAAAATACATCGTCAAAGTTTTTGTCCAGCAACCATCAGAACAATTCACAAGAATGCAAATTCAAAGGGAAAAGTAACATTTATACTGCACGAGAGGTGAGGAGTGAACTCTGTAGTCAGTAAACTCTGATTGGTAGAGGCATTACTGTACAGAATGGATTCACAAACACTTGAAAAGACCACAGATGACTTGTACATCAATAGTAATGTAATGTTCAAGTGCTCGTTTGACATTGCCAGCCTACTTATTAAGGCATTACTCAAGAAATCCATTGATATCTGCACATTAGCTTTATAACATGGAGATATGGATTGCAGAAATTTCACTAAACTTACGAGCTCAGCAACTTATGCATTTCAGTTCTGTTTTAACAACACCATGTCTACCATGGGACCCCCACAAAGTCCAGCATTCACAAAAAGTTTTGCTAGATTTCTTGAGAAACATGACTTGAACAGATTGACAGAGAGCCTAAGAAACAGGAACAGGAGTAGGCCAATTACTTCAGATATCCTGGAAGACAAGATATCTCAAAAAGATTGAGCAACAGGTGAAGTTAGCAGTTTGATGTTAACATCACAAAATGGTGCTTGCCACTAACAGAATGCTGTCGTCAAGCCTAAAAGGCGTCCACCACACAAATACGTAATGCAGTATATGAATTTTGGTGCCAGTATGATGCCAGGTATGTAGGTCAAATGTCCCAAAGACTGACGGATCATATCAAAGAGCATGTCTCTTCCACTGTTTACAAACAGCAAGATATTGACTGCACCAATCCAGTCCATACTTGCAAAAGGATACAACACTAGATTTCATTCTGCATAGAACACTGAACAGTACAGCACGCAAACAGTTGCTTTGGCTCGACATCTGCACTGAAAAACCCATCTGGTTCACTAATGTCCTTTAGGGAAGGAAAGTGCCATCCTTACCCAGTCTGGCCAACATGTGACTCCACACCCATGGCAATGTGGTTGACTCTTAATTGCCCAGAGGGTAGTTACGGATGGGCCATAAATGCTGCCCAGCCAACAACACCCATATCCTGTGAATGAATTTAAAAAAAAAAATATTCATGGTATCCAGTCCAGTTCACATTCTATCCTGAGCACCATTTTGCAACAGGTACAAAGACCTGCGGTCACACCATACATTACAATAGGCAATGACAAAGAAATGCAGGGAATATCAAATGAGACCTTCTTATTTATGTTGAAGAATATATAAACAAGTAAAACATACTGTAGCACAATTGAGTGAGAGCACAACAGTAAGGATCAAGAAGTGTTTTTCCTCCCATCCCCAACAGGATGGAGAAAATTCATCCCTTATAACACATATGGACTAGTAATTGCAATATAGTTTAGCAAGCTAAAACAATTTCTAAGACCATATTCTTGACGTACACAAATGTTCAACTGACAGGGCTATGCTGCCGTTTATTCAAAGTAAGAAAAAAGATGCAGTGCAAGAATTTCAGCTTAACATTTGAAAATGCTAAAATCAATACTTTCATGCTCTTCGATGTTGCAAAAGAAACTCAAATGATTCCAAACCTAATTTAGTGTGCTGAATCAAACACTATAAAATTTATCAAATGTTCACACAAAAATTCTAAATGCCTGATAGTAATGTCTGTCAAGACATGTATACTCACCGTCTTATGGCCATTCTGACAGGCTACATGTAAAGCAGTCTGACCCATTGCATCTTCAACATCCACATTAGTAACATGTTGCACCAGGTCGTGAAGAAGCTCAGTGCGTCCATTTACAGCCAACCAATGAATCTGTGGCAAAAGATTTGTTTCATGCCATGACTAAGCTGTAATTATTCTTGAGACAGCAAGGTCTTCAGTTGAAATAATTATTCTCATTCTACTTTAATTGATAACTAAATAAAGCTATCACAACAACCACTCCCCTCCATTTGACTCTTTCCCTGTCTAGAACACCACACCTCACAGAGGGAGAACTCAGCTTTTTGTAAAATAAACCCAATCACAAACATTACGAACATTGCCCACCAGTAAACAATAACCCAAAAACAAGAGAAAAATAAAGATAGATTGGGGCTCTTGTGGTGTGGTGGTAGCATCATTACCTCTGGGCCAGAAGGTCTGGGAACAAGTCCCCCTGCTTGAGAGGTCAGTCATAACATCTCTGACCAGACTGTTTAAAAAAAATAACTTAAAGGAAAGCCGAGTTGGCAGGGCTACAGAGGGGGAAATAATGCACGCAACACTAGAAGAAACAGGCTCTTTTCAAAATAGATAAATCCAACCACCAAATTAACCAATCATCCAACTGACAAATAACAAAGAGATAACTGCAGGAGTACATTATTTGGCCCTCTGTGCCTGCTCTGCCATTTAAAATGATAATGGGTGGTCATCCAATTCAGCACCCTTTTCCCTTCAGCCTCAACAGCTATGTCTAACACCATTCAATGTTTTAGCCTTATTCATTTTCTGTGAACCTTAGTCCTGGACTCGCTGGTCATTGGGAATATCCTGCGTTTACCTTGTCTAGTCTTGTTAGAATTTTATAGATTTCTAAGAACCACCCCCCACCCCCCAATTCTTAATCAGTATTTTCAGGTTTAACATTATCCCTGAGGATCGACCTTTTTCACCATAGACAGAGTTTCACTCAGTGTTGCCAGTTTTGTTGAATTTTGTTTTCACTTTCTATCATCTGCAATATTTTGCTTTTTCACCAGGAATTGCAACTTCAGTACATTTTCCTGGAATTAGGTAGCTTCACAATGACTCCTTGATATCCTTTTATATTGAATGGTTGGTGTTCTGTTGTTTGTTAGAGTTCTGGAGGGGACATTCCTCCTAGTCCTATAGCTGAGTTAAGTTTCCTTAACCAATTAGGTTGAAGCGGGGGAATTTCTATTGGTATTAAATGTGCTGAGTCATTAGAAGTCCATCCGAGTACTGAAATAGTTTCTAAAGCTTCTGTCCCTTCAACGTCCAGATGCTGTTACGTTTGAATATTTTTTATTTAAAAGTATGACTCCCATTCTTCCAATTTTATAATATTACACCCTCAGAAGCTATTTTGGAAGAAGTCTCAAAGCTTGAAACCAATTTACTCAAATAAAAAACAGTGTACATCACAAAAGAAAAGGCAAGAAGAATTATGAAACATATTTAAAATGATCAACCTTATTTTAGGTTGCCGGAAGAAATGCGGAGTGAAACAAGGGGGTTAACTGGAATCTCTTATATAAAATAAGACTCTATAGCAGTGACTAAACAAACATCAAAAGTAATCATTTGGACTATAAAGCACGTTGCGCAATTCAGATGATGTGAAAATGAGACAAATATGATATTGATTCAAAATTGACTCTAAATACAGATAATTAAACTTACACCATTCCAAATTGAATATCACGACCCCCAAAACAAACAAGCAGGGAAAAACAACAATCCTGAAGTGTGCAGCCTTACCGCAGTCAGTCCTTCATTGTTGCAGATGTTCACGTCAGCACTATACTCCAACAGTTTTCCCATACATTTCTTCTGCCTACAAATAGGACATAAATTTTGTCATCCATACCTACTGTTAGAAGTTACATTGCACTTGGCACATGGTATTGACTTTCACACGTTCAAGATTTAATCAGTATTTCCTTCAAAGACCGTGATTCCATCCATTTACCTAACCCAAATTAAATCAAAAGACAGTCAACTGAATCCTACCATCCTGACCTTCTTCTTGCACCTACATGCAACTAATCTCAACTTCACCAAACTGGTTGCTCAGACAGTCTTCAAGTCCAGACTCTGCATTCTGCTTGATAATCAGCGTCCATCGCCATTTACATTCAAAACTACAAGAGGTTTGGACAGAGCAAATACGAAGAAACGTTTCCACACATAAGGATCAAGAATCAAAGGGCACAGGTTTAAAGTAATTGGTAAAAGAAGCAAAAGCGATAGGAGGAAAGGTTTTATCACGCAGTGAGTTTTAAGATCTAGAATGCACTGCCTGAACATGTGGTGGAGGCAAGTTCAGTTGGTACAAGAGAGAATTAGGCTGTTACCTGAAAAGAAAGAAATTGCAGGGTTATGAGCAGAAGGTGAGAGCATGGCACTAAGTGAAGCATTCATTCAGTGAGCCAGTGCAGACCCGAAGAGTTGAATGTTGGTTTTGTAACTATTTTGCAACAACAAAAAAAAAGAAAATCACTCTCTCACCCACCATAGAACAATGCCCCGCTACATATTCCTCAGGCTACAGAATTTCTAATACACACCGATAATCTTGGCAAACCATTTTCTCAAATGGCCATTTAGTTAGCATCTATCTTTAAAAAATTGCAATTCTTTGAGAATGCTGCAGCCCATGCCCTTACCTAACTTACTCCAGTGATGTTGCAGTTGACAAGACCTACTTGTTCCACTGAATTAATTTTATTTTGTTACCTAACTTTCAAACTCTTTCCCCAATCTTATCAGTGATGTGCACTTAGATGCAAATTCCATTTTACTAACTATGATTGGCTCCTCAGCTCTGAAGAATTTAAGTCAGTCCTTGGGACCGCCTCTCTCCTTGCCTCAATGGCTAACTTTCAATCTTTAAAAGGAACATGAAACTTCCTGTTTGACTGTGCTTTTATTCACATATTTGAAATTTTACTCTTCTTCCTCTTTCCCTCTTGTTCAATGCTCAATTCTTTACCTTGCAGTATTTAGTATCTTTCTACAACATTTAAACTATTAATTAGTTGTTTCACCAATATAAATACCTCTGCACTAACCACGAGTGGAAATTTCTAAATGACTAAACATGTTGCACGACAATAATATTTTGACCTGTTTTAGCCAAACATGAACACAATCTTCAGCATTACAAAACTACCTGGAAGTTGCACTGATCTTTTTAATATTCAATGAAGTGGGGATACTAATTATTTCTTAAATAACTCAAAGGATTGACAATAGTTAGCAAACTCACCCATTCCTCGCTGCTAAGTGAAGGGGTGTACACCCAGAAATGTCCTGGTAATTTGGATTTGCTCCTTTCTTCAGTAGTAGAATAAGGCATTCAACAGAGCCACAACTGCACCAGACATTTAGAAAACAAATCAGTCAGCAAAACTTGGTCTTTGCTTGAATTTTATAACTGAAATAACGAAAAGAGTTTACAACAACTAATGTTCAGATTCACTTGCATTAAATTTCAACTAAATCTGTCGACTTTATCATGTCAAAAGGGCTTCTACTTTCATACAAAACAGCAACTAAATAATAGCATTAAATAAAGCTTTACTATCATCAAAGCACGCTCGAGTTTGTAATCAAAAGTGTGATTTGCTTTGGTTAATTACAATGACATTTCTGCAATAAACTCTATAAAGGAAACAGCACAAAGTAAATAATAAACAGATACAAAACTGTTGGCATCAACATCAAAAACAAAAATTCAAGATACACCTTTTTTCAAGTTGCTATGCTAATCTATACTGTAACTGAAAGTTTGGCACAACACTTCATCTCAGAAATCAAACATTTTACAGACTAATCTATTGAGGAATTTGCTGCATGACCCAAAGTGCCATCTTTCAAGTAAAACCTTATGTCAATGCCCAGGTGCCCTCCACTCAGACAGATAATGGTAATTCCATAGCACCATTCCATACTTAGTCAAAGTGCCCTGACCAACATTTACATTGTGCACATGACCCATGGTTATATCATTTAAATAATGTTCACTCCTGTAGCACATAATTCGGTCAATTTACCAGTAATACAAAATCTTACTTTGCTGCTATATGCAATAAGCTTCTCTTGACACGACCAAACGCGTAATTGACATCAAACTTGGAATTTGTCAGCAACTCTGAAACAGACCTTAGAAAGAAATACGTTATACATTATGTTAGGGAATGACTTTAGAGATTAATTCCATTTGTCACGAATAAACCTTGCATTATCAAAGTAACAAACAGCATACGAATACAAGTGGTGCATATATCCTGAAAGGACTTAAACTTAGGAAAACAGGATCTATAATAAAATAAATAGAATTGATTTATATACAATGGGCTGATTTTGCAGTCTGCAGCAAAGCAACAGTGCTCACTCTACCTCAAAGAAAGTTAAACACAAAGTATCACTGTGCCTTCACTGTGACATGGAATTTCCCTTTCCCAATGGCAGTTTTAAATCTGAATTATTGTGTCTGAAAAAAGGTATAAAACGCTCCAAGCACTGGCATGCACCAAACTGCAGTATGAATTCCTGCCATTAGATTATTCTATTATCAGAAATAACCTTCTGTTCAACACTTCTTTGTGAATATGGAAGAATAAACAAAGCTCACCTATGCTGATCAGCCATTACCATTGGCATCAACGTATACACTGCAGTTTCATTATCTGTGGGGTGAAGTGAAAAAAGGTTTGTTAGCCTGCCTGTGATGATCCACTGAATATCCTAAAGCAGCAATCTAATAAGGGTTTGTTTTCATTTTTTCAAAACTGAGAGACAGTTAAATAAGACAGAAAGACTGGAAAACCATTGCTTACAGGTATGTGGAACGGTCCAACTGTCTAAGCAAAAAAGGCACTCAACCACACAATATTCCTTGATTCCCAATATCTTTCCACTCCTGCTAAACATAAAAGAAGAAAAACTGGAAATGCACACATAGTCGGGTCAGCTTTATCAAAAGAGAAAAGACAAGGTTATGGTGTTTTGATCATACAGCCTTCATCAGATTCACATCCTGACTTTCCTCTTTACAAATGCAAACTTACCTGCTACTTTCTTTTTAATTTGTCCAAGAGAAGTGGGTCTTGCTAGCACCAGCATTTTTGCCCATTTCTAATTGCCCTGGTGAAGGCAATGGCAATTTGTTCCATAACTCCACAATTTGCACATATTCTTCATTATTTTCCTTTATCACTTTTCCACAGTATTGGAAACAATTACTTTGCATAGCAGCTCATAGAATTATTGCATTGATATTAAGCAGAAGGATTTCTTTCCTGTCCAATCCATGAAAACATTTTGGAGAAATAAACTGGATCAAGTTTCAGAGTAAGAAGCAGGTTGAAAGGGAGTTATTTCTCCACTAAATTGAGTGTGTTAAGACAGTAATAAATCTTTCAAGATACTGACTACCAAGATCGATATTGAAACTGAAGAAGTATTTCTTCTGAACATTTCAGTATTCTTCAAACAACTGCAGTGCAGATGAGGCAGATATGAGAACTTGGGGGTTGCAATTGAGCCTCAGCAATTGTCCCACAGCTACGAGGCTCTTATAAGCTGCGTAGGCAACTGTGGGGACTGAGGGGAGGATGAGTGAACAGACCATGGCATCTTGGTACGGGAAGCCATTGAAATGGGAGTAAGGAAATGGCAGTGTAGTAGTGGTAGGGGACAATATAAATAGTGATAGATACTGTTCTCTGCAGCCGTGGGCAGGAGTTCTGAAAGCTGTGTTATCTGTCTGGTGACGTTTCTTTGGGGCTAATAAAGAACTTGGAGTGAGAGGAAAAGGATCCAGTTGCATTGCTTGGTCTAGAAAAGAAGTTCTGATGAAAGATTTTGAACAGATTAGAGCTAAATTATAAAGCAGAACTTCCAAAGTAATAATCTCTAGATTACTACCTGAACTGCAAACAAACTGGCATGGAGAGTAAATAAAGGCAAGGAGTTAAATTTGTGGCTCTAAGATTAAGGCAGGTGGAATGGGTTTCAGTTTGTGGAGTACTCACACCAATACGAGAGTGGAAAGGAGTTTTCTTGGTGGGAGAGGCCTCATTTGAATTCTGCTAGGACTACTAACGTGACCAATTGAATAATTGGAGCTGTAGGGAGTGCTTTAAGCTAATTGGGAGGGGGCTGGGAGCAGGGAAGCGTAGGCTTACAAAACAAAGAATGCAGCAGCATTACAGGGCAGCTATTTGGATAATAACACCCAGAATGGGGCTGAAGGGACAAACAAAAACAGTAAAGAGATTCAAAAAAGAAAAAAAATGGTGAAAAGCCAAAATTAATGGCTCTTTATTTGAACGCGCACAGTATTTAAAACAAAATAAAATGAATTCCTGGCACAATCACAGGTAAATGCATATGATCTTTTCGCCACTACAGAAACATGGTTAAAAGGAGATCAAAGTTGGGAAATATTCAGGTGTACATGACTTTTAAAAGAACGTGTAGGAAGAAGTGGGTGGTGAGGTAGCAAAGTTAGTACGAGATAGAAGAAGTAATATAGCAAGAAACTATCTTGGATGAGATGATGAATGGGAGTGAGTAATAACATAGGAAGATGGCACTTGTAGGTGTAGTCTGTAGGCCCCTGAACGAGAGCCATTCCACAGAACTGAAATTAATTTTTTTTTAAATTTACTCACAGGATGCAGGCAACTCTGGCTAGGCTGGCATTTATTGCCCAGAGGGCAGTTAAGAGTCAAACATATCGCTGTGGGTCTTCAGTCATATGTAGGCCAAACCTGGTAAGATGGTAGTTTCCTTTCCTAAAGATCATATGTAAATCAGGTGGGTTTTTGTGACAATTGACAATGGATTCACATTCATCATTAGACTCTTAATTGCAGACTTTTATTATTATTTAATTCAAACTCCACCATCTGCCATGGCTGAATTTGAACCTGGGTCCCCAGAACATTACCTGTCTTTAACAGTCCAGCAACAATACCACTAGACCATCACCTACTCCATATTCTAGTGATAACACCACTAGGTTATTGTCTCCTCCTGGGGAGACAAAGAGGGCATGTGAAAACGACAATATATTAATCATGTGATTTTTGACCATTAAAGCTACCTACTTCCACTTCTGAAACACAACTTAATTCATTTTCCACTGTTCTGCAGCTATAAATCCACATTAAGTCTTAATTGCTCTAAGTATGCCTACCCCAGCCACTCCTGACCAACCTTCCACACTATACCTTCCAGAAATTCGGAGGCCTCACAACACACCACTGTCCAAGTCTTTATTTGGACAATGTCCCATTCATCCATTCTTGGTCAGCCAGAACAGGGATAATGGCTCCCAGTTAAGCAACACTGATTTTAAAATAATCCTTGTTTTTAAAATTTCTCCATGGTTTCATCTGGTCCTCACCAATTCCACCATCTTCACAGCCATCTGTGTTCCTTTGATTATGAGCATTCCTGATCCTTATTGGTCCAGCACTGTTAGAAATGCTGTCTCAGCTCTCAAATTCCCTCCCTATTGCTCTCCCACTTACATCTCACTGTTGCTTGTTAAAATCTACCTCTGTGATAAATCTTTTGGTCCTAACTCCAAATATCACCACTGGACTTCGCAGTCACTCTTTTCTTGATAACTGGGCCGTGTAATGCCTGGAGATGCTTAATTCTGTCAAAGACATAATACGTGTCACTGTTGAGGCTAAAGAAGGATTTACAAACAAAGATGAAAATTTTAAAAATCACAAGAATCTGCTCAACTGGGATTCAAAGTTGTTCATTGAAGAAAGGAGCAATAGATTGTTGATGAACTCGCTCCCCAACTCTGGCAACAGACCAGTTATTTTTGGAAACTTTGATCTCGCAGTCTAATGAATCTAACAGATTAGCTACTGAATACAAATACTTTTGTCTCAAAATCTAAACTAATGACATCAATTAAGTGGGAATATAAAAACAAGAAAGTAAGATTAAATTTTAAAAAAAACTCCTAAGGCCAGTATCCTTCCTCCAGGTTAGCCTTTAATTACATGTGTACAGTACATGGCAGTGACCCAGCTGGCTCAGAGCCGGCTCCTACAGTGAACTGAACCCCTGACACTCCTGTTTATAAATCGGTCAGCCAGGACTCTTTGATTGGACCAGGTGAACAGCCCCAATCAGAGAACTCATTCAATGAGAGCCACCTAGCTGGCCTCAATCCAATCGCTACACTTCTCTTCCTCCAAGTCCTGAGACGTAGGCCTGTTTTTTGTCCTGTAGCTTCTCTGAAGGCTTTTTTGCACCAGGTCACTGGCAACGTGTACCAGACCACAACCTGCCTCTTATGTCCGGAACATCTCAGCCGAAATTTGTCTGCTTCAGGCAGTAACGGTGTCGCGACTGTGACATCTGCCACGTCCATCTCATCCTCAGGAGGTTTCTTTGAGTTTAGGTAGAGAGGAAGAACTCACGGGTTTCCGACTGCCTTGCCAAATGTTCCGAGGGGCCAAGTAAATTTTGCTCCTGCCCAGTTCGAGGTGGCAGCTTTCATGTAGTCCACATGCTTGTTTAGGATTGCCTCTCCTACCCGAATTCAGTACGTCACAGCACCTGACCTCATCACTAATGATGTTTGTGGTCCTTTACTATTACAAATTTACATCAGTAAAAAGTACCGGTGGCATTTTCTCACACCAAAGATCACCACCAAACCTTCCTTCCCTATTTGGCATATCTTCATTCAGCATCAACCAAAGTCCGGGAAGCATATGCTGTCGGATGTAACTCTCCATTAGGCCATCTGTGAGCTAACATTACCCAAATACCGTATGGGGAGATATCGCATGTTGGGTCAACTTCTCGCTTGGGATTATAGTGTACCAACACCTTAGACGACTACAGCTTGTTTCTTCACTTCCCCAAAAGGAGAAGTATCTTGGTTACGAAACTATTTCCAAAGCTGACCCTTTTTCAATAGCAGATGTAAGGGTGCCAGGATGGAGGCCAGGTTATGTATGAATTTCCCGTAATAATTCACCAATCCAAGGAAAGACACAAGCTCCGATAGACGTGAGAGCCAGAGCACCATTGATCACCCTCACTTTATCATCCAGTGGATGTAACCTAGTCCTGACGACTCTGTTGACCAAGTGGGTCACTTGGGGTGCCTGGAATACACATTTTGCCCTTCACAGTACTTAAATGTTTCTCCTAGACGGGTGTATGCTATGTCCAAGTTCTCCAAATGCTCTTCATTAGTCTGCCTGGTTATTAGCACATCATCCAGATAAATGGCGACCTAGGGTAGACCTTGTAAAATGTTCTCCATTGCCCGCTGGAAAATGGCACAAGCTGATGATACCCCAAAAGGCAGTCTCGTATATTGGTACAAACCCTCAAGGGTATTAACTGTCGCATGTAATAGAATCTTCGTTTAATCATAATTGCAGGTACACATGGCTCACATCTAGCTTCGTGAAGGCCAACTCCCCAACCCACACCGGTTCTGCGTACAAATCCAAGAGACTGGGTACTTATTCAGCTGCAAAAAGCTGTTTACAGTTTGTTTGAAATCCACCACAAAGGTAAACATACCAGTCAGGCTTCACAATCAGAATGACTGGTGCTGCCCATACAAACTGTGTTGCTTTGACAAGTCCTTTGCTTTCTCACCTCCTGATTTCTGCCTCTACTTTGGCACATA